AAAAAACACTCTGCTTAAATGGGAGGCTGGACAAGGCCTCGTGGGTGCCTTTCCAAAGCACAAAATCAATTCCAACGTGCCATATCCAAAGTTTCTCCAATTGCATTGACTCTGCAACAAGCAAGTGACCTTCTTGCAGCAAAGTAGGTTTGAGCAAGTGGCCATTCTGCGCCTACAGATTCTTTAATTCTTTTGCTCCTATTTTTTTTTACACAAAGATTAAAAGTGATAACGGTGTCTGGCTACTGAGGCCTCTATTTGAAGACCAAGGGACGAACACAAGGAGTGCGAGAAGCGGCGCAGGGAGCCAAGTTTAACGCAGGGCCGTTCCCCGTTCCCTGGCCTGGCCGAGCCCCGCTGCCTCGCTCCTGGTCCTGTCTCCACATTCCAGGGCTCAAGGTCGAGCCCGGCGTCCTCGCTGTTGAAGGAGTTTCCTTGGTCCCACGGCAGCGTCCCGCGCTCTCACGGAGCTCTCTCCAATGGAGAGGGGCTCTCTCCAACGCGCGGGGATCTCTCCAGCACCGGGCAGCTCCAGCGATCAGGATCTACCACCTGGACCCCCACACAACACAGCCTGGGCAAAGGGGCAGCCAGGAAGGCAATAACCCCTGTCCAAGGCCCAGCCCCTGGCCTGCACGTCAGCCCCAAGGGGCAGCAAGGAGACCCGTCCTTGACGCCCGCGGAATGCTCTCCAACGCCTCAAGCAAGGGTTAAGCTTTTGTTGTCCGGGTTAGGCCGTGCTTCCTCCGTGACCGGCTCTTATCGAGGGCTCCCGCAGGCGGCCGGCGCTCCGGGCGGCCCTGCCCAGCGAGCAACGCGCCAGATAAACGGGCGCTTTTAACCTCCCGCTTGTCCGTGCCGCACGCACAGCCCCGGCCAGGCTGCGCTTCCCAAAGGATAAAGCTATTTAGAGCTTGCCAAGGAGGAGGGGAGGAGAAGCATCCTCGCAGCAGCTTATCAAACCCAAGGTTGTTGACATAAGAAGAATGCAGGCATTAAAATAAGCAAAACTCCGCTGTTCTCACGCGGGGAAGGAAATGTGCCTTTGCCGTTCCACGCGCAGGATGATTATTACATTTTTTTTCCTACTTCACCCCTCAGCGGCCAAGTGTTTCACTAGAACTGGGCTGTGCCAGCTTGAAGTGTTGAGCAAGGCACCTGCATCCACTGCTTCGTTCCTGTGTTTGCATCAACTTGTTCCATAGGAACCACCGTATCCATACGGATGTCCGAAACGACAGTGCCAGGGCAAGCACATTCACAGACAGATCTCACATGTGTGACATGCACCGCTCCTCAATTTAGTAAAAACAGGGAATCCTGCTCCGAGCACCAACCCTGCTGACTCCTGGTGTTGATAGCAGTGAATAATGGGAGGTCAGTGACTCACTTGGCACTACCTCCCTGCCTTGCGAGTAGAATACAGACTTACACGCTCAAACGACAGAGAAAATTAGAATTTGTTGCAATTATTTCTAGCATGTATCCCCTGTGGGCAAACTGAGCCATACACAGAGCCATGAAAAATTGCATTTCCCTGCTTCAATCAAGACGGAATATGATGTGGAATTGCTGATTACTTGGGAGGCACTCGCAGGCTGAGCGGAGCGCGGACGGTGCCCAGGGGCGCAGCCCGGTCCCCTCCTGCGCTCTCTGCACGGCCGTTCTGCAGCAGGTCCTCGTGGGCCACCTCCACGCTACAGCACTGGGGTACTGACCCCAAGGGAAGCGCCACTGCGGAGACGCTGTTCGAAAACCTGCGCCTTGGAAACACACATTGTGCAAAAAACAGAAGCTCCCGTCTCTCCACGGTTAGCTGATACAAGGGGGCAAAAACCAACACGGCATCGATCCAGGGATGCTCCAAGAGGGCAAAAAAGCAAGGTGGGATCAGTGCAGGCTAGAGCTGTAAAGCCACCTCGACTGGTGGCTGGAGCGTGTGTAAGGGCTCCTCTATCCGTGCGCTGCCTCCTGCTCTTCCTGCTCTGCTCCCTCCTCGAGCGGAGCGGGGCGAGCGGGCCGGGTCCCCTCCGAGGACACACAAAGGGCTCCTCTCCTCTCCTCTCCTCTCCCGTGCACGATTCCTGCACAAAAGCCGTGCCGCGCACACGGTGACCGCACGGCTTTGGCATCCCCGGGGCCGCTGCCCTGCCTCCCCTGAGCATCCTGCTGGCCACAAAGGGGCTGCTGCCTTTGTGCCGCGAAAGCTCCCAACCTGCTGCATAAAGAGGCTTCTGTTGTTCCGAGCGCTCACGTGGGACCCGCTTCCCAGCTCCTTTCCAAGATGGATATAAAATTCAGTGTAATATTATAGCACAGAAATAAGCAGACTATGTTTTTTTCCCCTCTCTATTTTCTGGAGCTGAGTCACAAGAAATAGCCGGGGAGAGGAGCGGCTGATGTGGGTGTAGCAGCTCCAAGCACGGCGGGAAGCCGGGCAGCAAGAACCTTTCCCGAGAAAACTGGCCGGCCTTATCTCCCAGCTGCCTTGTCTGCCCCTGCCTTTGCTCCTGCAAACCTGCTCCGGGTTATCGCCCAGGAGCCGTCACCAAAGCAGAGCCGTCCTCGCCGCCCTGCCCCGCTCTCCTCCCCGCCGGCCACGCGCTGACGAGCGACGGGGGACGCAGCAGGGTGATGTCCGGGCGAGGGCGGGTGAATTTGGGCCCGGGAGCTGAATTCCACCCGCTGGAAAGCGCACCGTGTCCATCCCAACAGGGGTTTCCCTTCGCAGTCCTCTGCCGGGGCGCGGGCAGGGCGGCCGCTCTCGCTTCGCCCCGCGCAAACGCAGACACGAGTGGACGGACGACGGTTTGTGCCAAAGAAACACAGAGTTCAGGAGGCTTCAGAAAGGCCACGGAGCACCGCAGCGCCACGCGGAGCCTCCTGCCTCCCATCACGTTGTTGGGACCCAAGCGCATGTCCCCGGCGTGCCGGGACACGGCAAGGGCCCATCCGTGTGCCAGGGGATCATGCGCCAGTGCCGGAGCCATCTGAGGACACAGACAGCCTTATCTCTGTGCTCGCAGCTGGATGCAGCTGCAAAATTATAGGCACGTTTAAAAATAACATCTGTGTAATCATCAATTAATTTATAACCTAGTGACATAGCAGGATTCTGCTTCTAATTAATTGTGACCTTCTTTAAGTGAAGAGAGCTGATTACCGATGAGATGTTTGTTTACGTTTGATCTCTTCTGCCTCTTTCAAAAATTCATCTGATCGTGTTTTTAACATTTAAACTCTACCCTGGTTATTTGCATGCTTAAGTCCCACATGATCACAACTGCTCACAGACAGAAACGCTGGGGTTTGCTGGTATCATCGCACTTCATTTTACAGATAGTCTCCTTGTACTTCAAACATAAACATCCGAATCCTCGCGAGTTCATTAATCTTGTGCAGGGAAGACGCCCTCCAGCACAGGAGAGGCTGTACGTTGTGTTCGTGCCTTTTCTGGGAGCTTTTCTTTGCTTGTGGATTTGCACATCTGTGATTTCCTGCCATGCGAAAGGTTCGTTCCTCCTCACGGCTTGGCAGGGGGAGATGTTTGGCTTTCCAGGAGGCGTTTCCTGCCCTGGGGTGTGTCCAGGGCGCTCCCGGCATTTCTCATCCGGAACCCCCGCGTTCCTCCGCATGGATCTGCGCACGCTCCCTCGTGTCCGGCTGTTCTTCTGGCCCTGGCTGGACTCAGCTCCTGCACCCAACCTGCCCCAGGACCCGCAGCGCCGGCCGCAGCGGCAGCCGGACAGGGACCACGTCCTCGGCACCGCGGCGGCTCCGGTGGAGCTGGCGAAGGCGCTGGCCTCCCGGCGGGACCGTCCCGGCCTCGCGGGCGCCGGAACGCCGCGGCTTTCAGGAAGAGAAGGAAACTCTTCCCTGTGGGCTGGAAAGGAGCAATGTAATGATCAAAGGAATCGCAGTGGCTCTGTCCTCTGAGCCCTGTGTCCTGCACAGAGACGAGCTGCTGCGCTGGGGATCTCCCCTCGTCACGCAGGGCTGGGGCCAATTCCAGGAATTCAAAGGAAACGCTTCCGTCTTCCCCAGAAGAGGCTTTAGGAGGAGAATCCCTGCAGCCTCCCCAGGAGCGGCCGCGCGCGCTCGGTGCTGTCGGCTCCGGCCCCGCGTCCCCGGGCTGCCCTGCAGGTCCATGGCCCGACCCAGCGGCACGGCCTTGGCAAAGACCAAAGCTGTCCCCCCGGCTCCGGCTTTCTCCAGGGGAACGTCCCTCGCCCAGGCCACGAGAGCAGTGACAGCCTGAGCACATGGCCCTGCAGGACTGCTCTTCCTTTCGCAAATAAAGGTGCTTGGGGCAAGCGAATGAAGTCGCTCTCGTTTACTTTCAGTCTTGTAAAAGTGCCAATGTTTCCCTGAGGCAGTTACCGAGATGCAAAAACGCCTCAGCTCCTTTGCTGGCTGCTGCTGCTGGGGTTTTTGTCCTTGCAGAATTACCTGACCAACGCAGGAGCTACGTGACCCGATGAGATGGGCGCAGCAGGACGCGGCCGTGCCGCCGCGCCGTCCGTGGGGACGCGGGGACGCGGCGCAGGGCCGCCACGGGCAGCACCGGCCCCCGCGCTGCGCTAGCTCTGAGGTCGCGTTTTGTCAAACAAAACTCCTGGGGGTTTAATGTTTCCTGCTGGGCAGACAGAAAGCTCTTTTCCAGACACATTAAAAAGATAAGGTTGATTAACAATTAACATGCTATTATCGGTGACATCTGATCCACTCGATATATTGCTTTGCCTCGTAAGTGCTGTTAACCCTTGCAGCCCATGGAGATTTCTGCCTGCCGTCAGGGCACCTCTGGAAGGAGGAAGCAGCAAAGCGGGTGCCCGCAGTCCGGGAGGGCACCGTGTCCACCCCACGGCAGGGAACACGGCACGGAGCCGGCAGCGCCCGCCCTGCTCACGGGAACGGCGGCCGCATCCGCACGAGCCGTGTGTCTCGTCACACCAACCTCACCCGGAGCGAAATGCCAAAGCCAGGCTGAGACCTCTGCGCTAGAGCCCTGTGATGTGACCCGGACACGCGTCAGTGCGAGACACGCAGGCCAAGCGCTCCCGAAGTGCCTCTCCTCCAAGCCAGGCTGGACTCTCCTTGGGAGAGCCGTGCGCCTGCCTGGAAAGCTGCAGGCAGTTACCAGAACCAGCAAATACCCCCGGATCCGGAGGAGCTCCATAAGCAGAGGACAAGCAAAGCTGCGCTAATACAGAGGACCTGAGTGGAGATGCTCACCGCGGACGCGGCCTCCCCGCGCTCTGCTGCTGATCCTCATGAACTCGACGCCTGGCCGGTGTCCGCAGCAGCCCCCCGATGACAGCCACCCTGTGCCACATCCCCCAGCCCCGCCAAGCCGCCCCGGGAGCCCTGCGGAGCGGGCCGCCGCGCTCACTTACTCGCCTCGGCGCTGTC